AGGGAGGGAGGGCACCTTCTCGTGCCCTCTGGAGTTAATTAGCCCCAGACAGGTAGAGGAGGCGGCGGAGAGTGCACGGCGGGCGCGGACACAAATGGTGCTGACGTCCGGATGGTCGGGGTCGCCAGCATCCCCTCGCCTCCCCCCGCCACCCCGTCGCCCGTCCCGTTCGCAAAGAGGGCAGCTTCTACTTGTTTGTTACGCGACAGGTAGTTGGTGGCCGTCTTGACCGGTCGTAATCCACTCGAGGAAGTGCTGTTGCTGCTGGCCTCTTTATTTCACTGCGATATAATTTTTTTCCAATACTTTTTTTAGACAGTCCCCCAACACACTGTCTCTACCGGTGGGCAAAGTTAAAGTTTCCCCCGTCTCCTCCAATAAAAATCAGATTGTTTTTACCGTTGATAACGGGATTGTAGGGATTTTTGACCAGGAAAAAAAAAACGGAAACTTTGAAAAAAGTCCTTTATTTTCCTTATTTTTACGGAAATCTACACGGTATGGTCTCCGCAGGACAAGATGCTGCGCGGCTACGAGAAGCGCATGAAGGGCGGCTTCTCCAAGGGCAAGAACGTGCTGCTGAGCCTGCTCTTCATCCACCTGGACAAGAACATGGACGGGCGGCTGGACCACGCCGAGCTGGACAAGGCGCACACCGAGCTGCACGCCGACTGGCCCGAGCACTGCACGCCCTCCCTGCTCATCATCCACGACGACGGCAACGGCGACGATCTCCTCGACAACGACGAGTTCGTCCGCTCCTTCAACCGCACCAAACGTGAGTGTCAACACTATGACATGTTACACTTTCCTATCTCACACTTTTCCACGTTAGACTTTTTCATGTGACACTATTCTATGTGCCACTTTTCCATGTTTACACTTTTACATACATGTTACACATTAACGTTTTGCACTTTAACGCGTTACACCTTAGTGTGTTACACTCTAACGTGTCACACTTTAACATGTTACACTTCTAGTACATATTATGCACTTTGTAGACTTAGTTCTCAAATTCTTTTTTTTTCTTTTTTTTTAGTA